TGCCGCGAGAAGACCCACGTCCTGCCCCCACCCCAGGTGGGTATCCGGAACTCCTGCACACCAGGAGTCAGGCCCCCAAATCCAGCAGGAGTGAAACCTCCTAGGCCTGTGAACGTGGCCCTCTCAACGCCACGGCCTGCCGGGCCTGCCTTCCCGCCGGCGCCCCCCGCCCTGCCGCTCCGCAGCAAACGGGGCTATTTCCGGCTCCCCCAACACGGTCTGGTTTCCTAGCCCGGGGAGTGGCTGGAGGGGGAGCCGCCCCAGAGCTAGGGCTGCTCTCTCCCCGAAGTTCCAATGGCCCTGGGCAAGCTGTTACCTGATCTTTTGCGTGATGTATGTGTCGCAAGGAAATTTGCAGTGACTTTGGAGCCCAGACTGAGGAAGCCGAGGTGGCGAAAGGAGAGACAATACGGTCCCGAAGTACAATTAAGGAGCCAGAGCCGCTCCTCTCTCCCCCGCCCTCCCTGCCAGACTGGGAGCTGTCTGGCCTCCAACCTCTGGGAGACTCGCGAACCTGGAGCCGGAAACTCAGCCCGAGGCAGAAGGAGCCAGAGGATTCCGCACCCAGAAACCAGGAGGGAAGCTGCCTTCCAACCTGGGTGGCACCATAACCAGCCCCGCTGAGTTGCAGCGAATCCAATGAATGAAAGTGCACAATTCGACCACAAATTTTCCCGAATTTTCTCAGCCTTTGGAAGGAGAGGCCAGGGTTTGGGACATCTTAGACAGACAGACAGACAGACAGACAGGCAAGCCGCATCTCCTGAGGCAGACAAGGCTCACAACATGAGTGTGAGCCTGAAATCATACAGGTTCAACAGTCCCGAGGCCTCTTTGCCAGGCCCGGCTGGCGCCGATCTCTCCTACCTTCTCTCCTGCCAGGGCCTCAGGCAGAGACCCGTAGGATTCGGTCTCGCTGGCTTGGTCCAGTCCCGCCTCGGGAAGCGCCTCCGTTACCTGCTTCTCGGCTCCCCACGGCCACAGCCGCAGGGCAGCTGCCTCCCGCCGGGGGAGGGAAGCCCCGGCCACCACCGCAGCCGCCACCGCCCGCCCTCCTTCCCTCCCTCCTTCTCGCCCTCCCTCCCTTGCTCCCTCCCTCGCGCTCTGCCGCTAGCGGGGCCCTCCCGCGGGCAACCTGC